GAAGACATTGTTGTGTACTTAGAAAATATCCTAAGGGGGGGGCTCTCGTCCCCTCCTGTACTGAGCCTGGAGGTCTGTCCTCTCACTTTATTTCTAAGTAAAAGCCTCTCCCTGGCTCTCCTGCAGTATATCTCGTAAGGGATCTATCATAGAACTACTTGTACTAAGAAGAGAACTTAGAACTTCACAAGATACAAAATCAGGTTTTTAAAAATCACTTGAATTTCTGTGACCTGGCAACAAATAATGAGAAGAGGAAATAAAAAGTGACTTAGACTGCAGATAACATAAAATATTTAAACTTGAAAGTACATAGAGGAGCATAACGTTGGGACTTTTGAGTACATAGACATGCAACAGAGGGGGTATAAAAAGTCTGTATAAAGAAATCACAAGAAGAAATGTTAAAAAATGCTTTAGACTGCCCATACAGAACATAGGGGATTTCAATGCTTTTCCTTCTGACCAGTTCTACACGATGTCTTGTTAAGTCTCTCTAAGCTAGTACGCCGCCCAGTGCTCGGATTCTCCTTCCAGCACGTGGCCCCTTCGGTTACCCAGGCCTGTATTTCTCAATATGGAGAACGTTCTAATGACATCGTTTTGCTCTGCACTTTGACAGTTAAATTACCATATTTTCGCTGTTATTTTTTAAAATACAAATTGTGAAAGGACGGTATGACGAGCCTCCGTGGACCCGTTGCCCCATTGTAATGACACCATGTGGGGCCGTATTGTTTAATGACTCTTCAGTGTCACCTTCCGACCGGTTCGTGTTCGGATCACACCAACTCCCGGTAAAGTGCCCACAGGTGCTTTGCTGCACCAGGACCCAGATGGCAGCGGCTCCCGCACGTGAGGCCGACTCTGTGTCTTAGGGCTTCTTGTTCACTGCAGCTCAGCCGCCTCCCGTGCTGATGGTGCGTTGAGATACTGGGAACTGTTCCAATACTGATTTGTCCGCTGGGCCCCAGGCTTGGCCCCCAACCTTGAGTGTATGAGGGGTGGAGGTAGGCCAGGCGCTGTGAGAAGCAGTCCTGGGGGGAAGCCTCTGCCTGGTCACCTCTGATCAGAAGCCCCCAAGCCCTCCACAGTGTGACCTGCCATCAGCTCTGCAGACACAGGCTGCCACACCCCTCAAATGTGGGAGAGGTTCTGGGGGTGACCTGGCTGGCTGCGGTTGCCCTGGTTTGGGATATTGCTTCTATACCGGGGACCCCCCACGTTACCTGCCCACGTCTCCCCCTGGGCTTCAGTATGAGGTTAGCAGCATGCTGTGCATCCTGCCAACACCATGTACCGGTGGCCTCTGGTCTGCGCCCTGTGGTTACTTAAGCACATGGAGCCTGAGGCTGGGAGAGGCGCTAGAGCCGTCATGAGGCCCCCTGGAGCTCTGGGCCCTGACCTGAGAGGCAGGAGGTCCCCTGGGGTGTCCCAAGGCCGTCTCTCACTCACTGAGCATTGTAAGAAATCCTCACTCAGCTCCCGTGGCACTGAAGCCTCTCGCCCAGGCTCCAGCTTGGAGATGTGCCAGCAGGTAGCCTGGCTCCCTCTGCCCCTGTCAGGACCCTGGAGGTGGCCGTGCTGGTGCCCATGACTGCTCCCCACTGCGAAGGTCAGCCCTGCCTCACACGGAGCAGGCGCAACCACGCACTCTCTTATTCTCTTCCCTCCCCACAGAGCAGCCCTCCGAGGGCTTACCTTCTCCATGGAGAGCAGGAATGCGGCCCTGGGACCCTGGAAGACCGGCAGAGAGGTGAGACGTACCAGATGTCCCATCTTTGCCATCACAGGACAGACCCACCCCTTCACTTGCCCTGGTGGCTGCCTCGTTGGTACAGTGCCAAGGCAGCAGCCTTCTAGGGGAGGTGACCTGCCTGATCAGCCACCGCAGGACGAGGCAGGTCCTCGGGCTGGGGAGGAGGGCAGACGTGCTGTCCGTCTCAGGCTGCCCCTGGGTACCACCGCCTGCAGTGTGGAAGGTCTGGCACCCGGTGGTCACCAGCAAAGCTGGGGGACAGATGCAGCCATCTTGCCCACACATGGCCAGGCTGTGGCTCGCAGCCTCCTGGTGAGCAGGCCTGGGTTTGTGTTGCAGGCTTTTGTGACGTTTGAGGATGTGGCTGTGGATTTCACGCAGAAGGAATGGGAGCTGCTGAGCCCTGCGCAGAGGACCCTGTACAGACACGTGATGCTGGAGAACTTCAGCCACCTGGTGTCGCTGGGTGCGCAGGGGCTCCCCTCAGGGCTGTTTTGACCCCTTTGATCCTTACTCTTCCTGGTCTCCCACTGAGAAGCAGGTGCTCAGCTTCCTGCTCCCCTGGGGATGGGCGTGGTCTCTGTACCTCTGGGACTACTGCCAGGCCTTCCAGTGCCCACACTGCCTGGAATGCATGGTTCCCAGCTCCATCCCACCACCACGGTCTTCCCCTCCCAGTCTGGCACCACCACATAGTGTCTCTGGCCTATAACCAAAACTGACCTACTCCTTTGTCCTGCTAAGCAGGAATTCCCTGTTCTAAACCGGACCTCATCACGTGGCTGGAGCGAGGGGAAGAGCCCTGGAGGGAAGAGAGGAGACACCGGCCAGGCCCCCATCCAGGTGAGGGGAGCCTCCGGGTGGACACTGGCCTTCGGCCTTGCATGGTGGTGGCGGCTGCTCAGGGGCCCTGGCAGGAAGCTGTCCTCCTGCACCGCGGCTGCTGGGGCTGCCTGGCCCTGCCTCCCTCCCACACCATCATCTTGGTTGAGTGAGGGGGTGTCCTGGGTGCCCAGACACCTTCCGACTGCAGGAAGCCCTCCTTCTCCCCAGTAGGCTTTCCCTCTGTGGCCTTACTGACCCGGCTCTCTGAGGCAGCAGTGGGATGTCTTCTCTGTGTTAGTGTCCTGCAGGGCCCCGTGTGTCCCATCTTCCACATCTTCTTGCCACCATTGTCTCTGGGGCCACTTTTCCTTCCTTTTCCCTCTTGTTACCGAGAGGCACTGCCTTCGGGTGGCTGCTGTCTAGAGGTGGGCACCATGGGAACTGCTTGTCACAGTTCTTTCTCCTGTCGCCTGGACGTGCTGTCTTGGAGCAATGGGGGTTCCCCTTTGGGCCCCCTGTTCCCGTCTCCTGTGTGCCCAGCACTTTCTGGGCCTCCCTCCCCCAGGCCCTTGTGGTGGGATCACGGGAGATTCTGCTGAGATCTGATGCCCCTTCCTTGGCTGTGGACAAGTGTAAATTTGTGGGGTGTCTTCTGGTTATGCTGAGGGTGTTGGTTTTCGGCTTCGTCTGTCCTTCCTGATGCCCTGGCCTTTCTTGGGGAGCGTGGTAGCCGACTCACGTTGAGGTGGCTGCCATTGCCATGTGCTTGGAAGTCTCCTTGTGTCCTGCTGCAGGAATCCTCGCTGAGCCTCGGCCGCGAACACATCCTGTAGATTGCTGTCGTTTCTCTACTCATAAGTCTTTACCACTTTGTTTGGCAGGAGTCGGTCAGTTTGTACTATCCGTCCAGTATTTGAGAGACGAATTTTAAGTCTTCTATTGTATGACATCTATTGTATTTCTCCCCAGTGAATCCATCTGTCCCTGTGTGATCATGGTCATTTTTTTAGTGCCTTGTTCTTTGTGTACAGGCGACCTGATGTGAAATAGCCCTGATCTGATGAGCTCTGTGGGCCTGTCTCCCTGCTCCACTCTCTTGGGGGCAGTCCTGCCTCCTCCCACTCTCACCCTCTTCTCTCACATCTCGATTATTTTGAAGCAAGTCATGGTCTTCCTATCCTTTCATCTCCAGAATCTAGTAACACTTACTCTATTCTGATCTTAATAGTACGGTTCATTAGATTACTTTTTGATAGCATAAATTATTTAACATGTTTTTGTACCATGTGTCTGTTATTTATTTTATGTTTTGTTAAGATATCAATTGATAGACACTCTTATGAAGGTTTCACAAGAATGACAATGTGGTTACAACATTCACCCTTATTATCGATTTCCCCCGAACACCCCATTGCAGTCATTGTCCATTAGTGCACTAAGATGCCGGAGTCCCTACTGGTCTCTGCGCTACACTGTCTTCCCCGTGACCCCACACACAGTGTGTTCACTAATCATCATGCTGCACAATCCACTTCTCCGTCCCTCCCTACCTGCCATCCCCCACGCCTCCCGTTTGGTATCCATTAGTCCCATCTTCGCATGTGTGAGTCTGTTTTGTTCCTTAAGTTTTGCTTTGTTGTTATACTCCACAAATGAGGGAGCTCATTTGGTATTTTC